CTATCAAGACCTCGGACCGATATTCTCCCAGTACGGCCCTCGCGCTTGGTTAATAAGATATGTATATTCAGAAAAAAAGTGATGAAAATGAAGAAAAATTTCGAAAAAAATTAAAACTTGTACAAAATCCTGATCGGCTGGCAACTTACTTTGCTTTATTCTATCAATAATTTCCTTTGCCACTTCATCGGGATTTCCTGTCTTTGGTGCCGTTACTGTTGTGTTCTTCAGAGGAGTAAGGACCTCTAACTCCTCCTTATCTACTTCTTCACCCACACCAGCAGGTATAACCCAACATTCTGGAATGATCGGTTTAACTGCGTCAACGATAACAATCCTGTTATTCTTTGACTTGTTATCCATGAACACTATCAAGAATTTCTTAGCGTCTGGTCTAGCTCCCGCCTCATCGAACAGCTTCTTTGCCTCAATCAGTGCCTTCTCTAAATCTGGCGAACCAGAACTGGGTATGACAGACTCCTCGATAATCTCCTTTAACTCTTCAGAAGAGTGTTTGTTCGCAAAACGAAGCAAAACCTGCGGCCGCTCGTCAAACGTCATAACACTGTAGTGCAGGTTGGTTGTTCCATAGGTGTCTATAATGGACTTGATGGATTCCTGCATAAGTTTGATCGTCACTGATGCATCACGGGACGTGGCGCTCAGAGCAAAGCCTATATCGATCTTTGTCACCTTTAATGGGTCTGAAACAAAGACAAAGGCAACTTTAACTGAGTTGTATTAGTGTCTAAGCTTCCGCCAACTTACCTCACAAAAATACTCGGCTGTAATCTTTGTAACTTGGGTTAATAAGTAATATCACAAAAAAAAGGTTCTTGTTTTAAATTAAGTGTGATGTGTGAAAATTATTGAGAAAATATTGAAAGCTGTAGAAGACGGTCCATTGACAATGCCAGTTTAATTAAGATCTTTGTGACTGAAATTTCAACTCTGTCAATAGCTGTTCAGGGAAATGTGGTCGGAAAAAAAAACGTAAAAGTGAACAAGAAACCCACATTATAGCTCCATGACTGCAGGATTTCATGGAAAATCTGAGAAAATGTCACTGCACGAACAGGACACAGCGGGTTTGATGAACGTATTTATTTGTTTATTTGACTTATTTAATTCAATGATTATTGGATACCACGTTTACCTTTCGAGATTGTCGCGTGCACTTCTCCTTTTTTCCGACAACCTTTCTCAAAACAGCTGTCACTTTACTACGTTTCTCTTCATAGAAACAACAACTCTAATCACGAAGTATCTTATTCAAAGAAAGAAATGTTGGTATGATTCGCCTTACTTATGGTATATTAAAAAGGCTTTATTCAAAGATAAATGTTTGTAACTCTCTTTGACACTTTCAACAAAGGATAACTATCGTTATACCTGTTTTATCCACGATTTCCTTGCCAACTTCATCAGGTTTGCCAGTGCTAGTAGTGTTGATCACGTTATCGGGAGTTGTCGAGATATTTTTCAGGTTCCCCTTGTCAGTTTCGCGTCCAACAGCAACTGTGATAATATTAACTCCAGTCTCTTTGAGCTCCGCCGCTGTTTTCGAGGCAGTGACTTCGTTGCCACTGGATCGCTTATCCACCATCACCACGAGAACTTTTTGTGCGTCATAACGCACATCTTCGCCTCCAAAGAGAACTTTAGCCGCTTCTAATGCTTTGTCGATGGCAGGCCCACCATTTGGTGCTCGTAATGAATCGATAAAGACTTTCAGATTATCAGCTGAGTCCATTTTGTTGCCAAAGCGTAGCTCAATAGTAGCCTCCGAGTCATAAGTAATGACCCCATAGTGGATGAGGTCAGTGCCATACATATCTGCTATGCTTTTGATGATTTCCTTCATGTGTTGCAAAACGTTTTTGGCGTCTCGTGACGCAGCACCAATGGCGAATGCAAGGTCGAGTTTTCCTATTCTTGTTGGTTCTGAAATGAAATGTTAGTCAGTATTTGAGCCCTAACGTGTTCCCATTTGACTGTTGTTGGGTTAGGGGAGGGGTGGGGTGCGCATTGGCTCAGATATTGATACTAGTCCCAAATGTTAACACCAAAAGTGATAATGGAATCTCACAGGTAATTCGCAAAACAAAAATGTCAGCTATAAAGAATGTAGTTCGGATTGCATGGGCTATGTTTTACATGACTTCACTGGTTCACTGGTCAAGAAAACAACAATCTTAGGATGTCGACCTAAAGCAAACCAGTTTTTAATTATAAGCTATGCTTTCTACTAAATCCAGACACTGTAAGTTTCAGATTTGCTAATGACGTTTCCTTGTTCATAAAGTATGATGAACCTTTGATAGACACCACCCCCGAATAACCCCCAGATCGCTTAACAGGTTGAAAATAATGTGTCAGTAACAGTCTTCTCCTTTTAACCACGAAATTCCTGAATGCAGGACTCCCACAGAAAAACGAATGTACTTTGTTTACTTCAAGGTGTACCTCGATTGGGTGACATAAAACCAAAGCGATAGTCATGCATCACAACAGCCAATAAGAACAAAGTAAAATTTCACCAATGAGATAACAAAGTTGAAGCAGGCACACTGTCCCAAGCGCGGGAAAACGCGTGTGACTAACACGCAGTTGGTTTTGTTTTGAATCTGATTTGCTGAGGAAGTGTCGGAAGTATTTCTGGACCAATCACACAACGAAATAAGGCAAAACCAAAGCAATCCCAAGCTACTTTCGACCGTTTATTGAAAACCGCTCTATTACAAATCGTAGCCCTCACATACCTGTTAAAATCTTGATTATCAATACTCGAGCCAATCTCCAAGACTCCTCTTCTTTATCTACTTCTATAACATCTCCCTTGTTAAAAGTGATGCTTTTTAACTCACTGCGATCTGTTTCATTTCCAATACCCACTGGGATCACTCGGATTTTGTTCTCCTCCATTAGTCGTGCACTTGACTTGATCAACGTTGGACTGGAAGTCGACTTCTTATCAGTCAAAACAACAAGCACTCGTTTGGCATCACGGCGAGCATTTGGTCCTTGAAAAATTTTCAAAGCTTCTTGCAGTGCTTTGTCAATTTGAGGATCACTGGCTCGTTTTGGTAAGTTTTTAATGTATTTCCGGAGGTCTAGGATGTCCTTGAAAGATGAGTCTCCAAGTTGTAGCGTAGTCCCTGCAGTTGCTCCATATACAAGGATGCCATATTGAATGTTCCCATCACCATACCTAAAGTCATTCATGATTTTTCTGATTGTGGCCTTCATGAGGGAAAATGTAGCATCGGCATCTTCGGAATTTGCTCTTACAGCGAACACAAGGTCCAGTTTGGGAAACGAGGGTGAAACTTTAGAACAAAGAGACATAAAAATACATTCATCACTCAATTCATTAAGTTAAAGCAGTGCACTTACGACAAAAACATGCCGTCCTTGTTCAATGGTCAATACCGAATTAACCTAATTGGCTACTAATTTCGCCTCGCTGAGTCACCCTTAAATCAAACATAAAGGTCACGAGGAGAAAAGAGATTCAAAAGTCCTTGATTATCAAGGAAATTTTCCTTTTCGTTACCAAAGGAAATAACTAGAGAACAATGTGGAGAACATAACGGGTTAAGGCAAGAATGAACCACTTAAACTTTTGCGCATCTAATTTAAAAGAGTATAATTATATTTAACAGCATTTAGTTTTCGACGAGCTATTTATTGTAGATTAAATTTCAGTTCATTCTAAAACCTCAGAACCTCGCTAATTTTCTATGCCAAATGGCTACTCACACTTCTATCAATACGAGCCCCGTTCTCTATACAACATAAGCGAAGTTGTCAAATTGAAAAATAAAACTTTCCAAGAATTTTTCGTTGGGACGATTTACAGCTCTGTGGATTTAAAAAATCGACAGTGGTTTAGCGTTGTTTGTACTCTCATTGACCTTGATATTCGTCATCAACGTGGTAAACATATTGCGTACTCGCGAGGCACACCCGAGTAAGTCCCCAAGAAGCGTGACCACAATGTTCACGAATATCGTTGTCGATAAAAGTAAAGACCTGTCGATTTGTTTCTTTCTTTGTTTGTTTTTTTTTTTGCAAAAATATCGACGTTAAATAACCACGATCGTAACACGTTGACGCAAGCAGCGTTCTCGGTACTCTTATCGACAACGGCAAGTCGGCAAATCAGAATGCGACGACACTGCCAACTGTGGTAAAAATAGCAATTTGTGATGACCCACCTCTGAAGACAGCAGACATAATTTCGACCTTCAGATCATCAGGTTTTGCGCTTCTTTCCTCCTCAATTATGTTTTCCCTTGAGGTAAATATCTCAAACTCCTTCGGGTCAACTTCTTTACCGATTGCTACAGCCACAATTTTGATTCCCTTATCTTGTAGTGGTCTTGCTGCCTCGCGAACGTCGGACGTTAATTTTCCTGACTGTAGATCTGTGATGACAACTAACACCTTTCTCGCATGGGGTCGTACACTGGCCGACGAGAACAGTTTTTCGGCCTCTTTAAGTGCCTCATCCACAGCAGCGCCGCTCCGTTTTTTGGGAGTAGCACTGAGGAACCGTAGAAGATTATTAACGTCAGTAAAACCGTTGAACCGAATCTTGATAGTTGCAGTGTCCCCAAAGACAACCAGCGCATACTTGATTTTTCCCAAGCCGTATTCACGGATGATCGCTGAAATTGTGTCTTTCATAAGCCTGAATGTTTCGTCGGCATACAATGAGCCAGCAGCGATAGCGAACCCAAGTTCAAGTTCAGGAATTGGAGATTTACCTGTTCAAAGTTAGAACATACAAAATGTGTCAACAGGCCCACAAATATCAACGTCCTTTTCTCATAGTGAAGATAAGCAAGGCTGCAATCAGATTGAAAACGAAGCAACCATCTCCTTTACAAAATACACAGTCATGTGACCATAACACTGTAAACCTTTTAATTCCCATGAGTGACCAAGACAGAATTCTTCCTTACAATATCAATACAATATCAAGCAGACAAGTGATGAGATTAAAGAAAAATATAAGTTAGGGGATTTTAGGTTGATCCGATAGAAAATTCTCCAAACCAACATCATAAGAACTGTATGTCAGACAGTAAGGAGAATCACCGATGAGATCTTGGGATTGAATGGGTTAAGAATCCTTAGAGTCAAATAACGGACCAATAGTCCTTTTTACAGTTGTAGGCTTGGTGGCCAAACCTTTGAACAGGAGTGAGGCTAAGGGTGACCTTGTTATGACAGAGATGTTGCTGCTTTTCAAATGCAAATTACTTTGTTATCATGCTAACTAGATACAGGTCTCTATCACAACAGGGTCACCCTTAGCCTCACTCCTGTTCAAAGGCTTGGCCACCAAGCCCACAACTGTAAAAGGGCCTACTGGCCATGCGGATAGTGCAGTAATACAGTCGAATCTGTATTGAGCGGTCACCCACAAGGAAGGGCGGGGTCACCGCTTAAAACATGTTAGCGCTCATTACAGGTTCAGAGAAGAGGTATATGAAAGAATACGATAAAAACGCCATTTTATGCCATAATTGACCATGATTGAAAATACTACGAACATTGATTTTGGGAGATGATCATAGATTAAATTTCACTTGAAACATTCATAGTTTAATTTGAGTGGTTCGCTCAACTGCATCTCATCAAATTCTCAAAAATAGCCATCATTTAAAGCTGTCAGATCCTGAAAGATCTTAAAGGATAAGACCTTGTGATAATAAAAAAAAAAAAAAACATACACCACCCAGACTTACCCTTGGCGATTTTGTCAATGATCTCCTTTCCCACGTGAATAGGGTTTTTTTCATTATCAGTTTTTATAACTTCCCCATCAGTCGATACTGCCTTCTCCTTAGTAGAGTTTACTTCTGTCCCGACAGACACTGCGATCACACGAACTCCAGCTGTTTCTAGAGGCACAACCGCTGCTCTAATATCTTGAGGGGTCTTACCAGATGACTTGTCTGTGATGACAACTAACACCTACGAGAGAAATGTCATTTTACTGTAAGGAATCCCAGCTGGGGTATTATGCTCTATCATAGTATGCTTTAGGAAAGGGACGAAGGTCAAGTTAAGTGACCCGTTTGTGAAAAAACAAAGATGTACCTCTTTGGCGAGCTCCAGAAATAAAGAAAAAAATCCATTGTTTTTTCGTCAACCATACACTCGCCAATCAAGAGCTAAATTGAGCGCAATAAAATTAAATGACAAAAAGTATAACTTTCAACCTAAAAGTTAAATCTAAGGAGTCGATCTCTACATTTGTCTGTTATCAACTTATTTCAAATCAACAGCTTTGTTAGTTTCACTGGTAACCATTTTACCTTAGCTGCATTGAATCGTATGTACGGACTTTTAAACTGATCATCTGCTGCTTCCAAAGCATTCTCAAGTGAAGGGGTTCCTGATATCCGAGGCATACTGCCAACAGCTTCTACTAACTCGGCATCTGAATCAAAAATGTCACCAAAACGGACTTGTGGTGAAGCATAATCACCGTACACAATGACACTAAATTCCAGTCTCTCCGTTCCATAGTTCTCAATAATGGACTTGATGGTATCTTTTATAAAAGAATATGTTTCCTCAGCTTCGAGTCCTGTGGCGGAGATTGCAAAAACCAGGTTGGTTTCTGGTATCCTTAGGGTTCCATCTAATGAGCAAAAAAATAGAAACAACAAAAACGTCGTGAGGAAAATCGCCAACAGTGGCATCACATTGCACAATAGAGAAGTAATAAATCGAGTGTCAAAAGTAAATCGGAGATTCACTCATACCTCCTCATATCTCCTCTTATGTCCAGAGATGCACGCAGTAACGAAAACGGCAGATTTAACGAAATTTCGTCACACCGAGTGAAAGTTCACAGATTTGATGATTTTGGCGAATTTTAGTCAAATTCGTCAAAACGATATCAGCTTAGCGGAATTGACGATTTTTAGTCCAAGTGAAATCAGCTTGGTGGATTGGACGATTTTGACGAAAATTCGTCAAATCTGCCATTTTCGCTACTGCATGCTGTTATCAATTTGGGTTCAGTTACTCGTTAACACTATATCGAAAAACCCTTTGACAGAGACATTCAAAGTGCACTTACTTATCACTCTTTCCATGATCTCTTCACTTAATTCCTCCGGATCTTTGTCTTTCTCAGATTCTATTATGTTGCCCTTATTGGTCACAATCACAAATTCCACTAGGTTGACCTCATCCCCGACAGCCACGGGGATAATTTTCACTGCCATCTGCTCAAGAAGCATGACACTGCCTGCCACGACGTCTTCGTCGAGACCTGAGCTCTTGTCTGTCAGGACCACCAAGACCCTGTCCGCACCCTGCCGATCTCCAGCATCAGTGAACATATCAGCAGCTACTTCCAGAGCTTTGTCGAGGGACGATGCACCCGACGGTTGCTCAATCGTTTTCAACACTCCTCGAACCTGGTCAGCATAAGTGGCGTTTCTCAGATGGACTACGATCGAAGCGTCATCACCGTAAACAATCAGGCCGTAACGGATGTTACTTGAGTCGTATTTCTGGAGCAGTGAGTCGATGGCATCCGTCATTAACTGGAACGTTTCACTTGTATATGTGCCAGTCGCTGAGACGGCAAGCACCAAATCTAACTTCGGAACATTCAGAGGACGATCTAAACGTTGAGTCGACAGTCAAATTCATGTTTTAGTATCGTTTCAAATTTAGCAAACTTAAGAGGATCAGTGAAATTTACAGTAAACAAAATGGTATAACCTGTCTCTAGAATGTGTCATATAGACTTTTACTGAATATCATGTGTTTGACTGGGTAAAAAATTATTATGGTTGTGACATACACAACGACAGACATCAGACATTTTCAAGGACAGACGGAGACAGACAGAAGGAGAGACAGACAGACGTAGAGAGGAACAGAAGGAGAGACAGACAGACGGAGAGACGGACAGACGGAGGGACGGACGGACGGAGGGACGGACGGACGGAGGGACGGACGGACGGAGGGACGGATGGAGGGAGGGACGGACGGAGGGAGGGACGGACGGACGGACGGAGGGACGGACGGACGGAAGGACGGACGGACGGAGGGACGGGCGGACGGACGGACGGACGGAGGGACGGACGGACGGAGGGACGGACGGACGGAGGGACGGACGGACGGAGGGACGGATGGAGGGAGGGACGGACGGAGGGAGGGACGGACGGACGGACGGAGGGACGGACGGACGGAAGGACGGACGGACGGAGGGACGGGCGGACGGACGGACGGACGCAGAGACCGACAGACAGAGAGAGGAACCGAAGGAGAGACAGACAGACGGAGAGACCAACAGACGGAGAGACAGACAGACGGAGAGAGGAACAGAAGGACAGGCAGCAAACCTAATGTTTTCTTTTGGAAATGAAACGCTGAGAATCATCGTCAGTGAGATATAAGTAAAGTAGTATTAACTTGAGGTTAGTAATGGTAAATAAATGGTAAAATAATAAGTATTAAAGTCAAAAGCTGCAACTATGTGTGCCCTGCGACACTGTTCCAGTCAACTCAAACGTCCAAGCCACTTACTTGTTAAAACCAACACCATGATATCTTTGGAAAGCATGCTTGGTTGCTTAGACGTTGGTACAGGCAGAACATCCCTGTTATCTGAAGCCATTGTTTCCAGTTCCTCCTTGTTTGTGCTGTCTCCTATGCCCACAGCAATCACACGAATGTTCATCTTCTCCAAATCTCTCGCCTTCGACACAATGTCACTCAACTGCAGTCCTGATTCGTTGTCCAACATGACAATAAGGACCTTTCTGGCATTCGGACGGTCCTCACCATCTCCAAAAGATTCCAAAGTTCGTTCCAACGCCTCATCTAACGCCGGGGCTCCACTACTTGGTACCAATGAATCTATGGCACCTTTCAGCCTAATGGGGTCCGTAGTACCATCACTAAATCTCACAACCAGTCTGGCCACGGATCCAAATAACACCACACTATAGCGAACCTTGCCTATACCATACGTGTCCACCACATCAATGATAGATTTTTTCATGAGGTTGAAAGTCTTCTCAGAACGGGCAGCTGTAGCACTAACAGCAAAACAAAGATCCATCTCTGGTGGTTCCACCACAACTGGAAAAAAAAAGAGACATCTAGGGCTTGAGAGCAACTTTAAATTGAGTGTCGAAAGTACTCCGATATTAGCCTGTATTTTTTTACTTTGCGCAGTGACTGGTCTAAAAATGTCGCAACACTCTCTCGTCCAATCAGGTACTTACCTAGAACAAAGCGCAGCTTGGTCACTCGCGTCGTCCCGCCCTTGCGCCAGTTTGCTTATTCTTTGATCTCGCATTGGCTCCTAGTGATATTTCACTGTGCTTTTATTGGCTGATGTGATTTCTTTGGGTCTTATTTTCCGACACTTAAATGAAAAGCGCTCCTATGGTAAGTCTTACAAACCCCATAACCTATACAGCAGGGCTGTGCTTATCTGGCGCTTATCATGTGTTCACAAAGAAGACGTTTTTATTACTTTTGTATGGTATGAAACTTCCGTTCAATACATTGGTCAAACGCACTTACCATCAAAGACCTTCTCCATAACCTTTTTAGCGAGATCTGCTGGGTCGACGGTTTTTGAAACTTCAAAGTCAGTTTTAGGATTGTTAACCAAAGCAAATATTAAAACAGGGATTCCATTCTTCTCCATGGCCTGAACTGCCCCATCAACAGCCGACGGATTCAGATCGGTGACACCATCTGTCAAAAGGACAACAACCTTTTTGACCGGCGGACGTAAACTTGAATCTTTGATGATTTGCAAAGCCTTGTCCAAGGCCCGTTTGGTTCCAGGGCGGCTTGAAACTCTTCGGGAATTTTCAACGAAGTCTTTAATGCTTGATCGAGAGGGAAAACTAGTTTTGAAATCAAATTCCTCACTAGGTTGGCTTCCATACACAATAAGGCTGTATTGGAGCCGATGTATTCCGTAAGTGTCTGTTACGATTTTAACAGCATCCTTCATGCGCTGAAACGCGTCATCGGGGTCCCCTGTTGTAGCTGTTAGAGCGAACACTACGTCGACTTCAGGTGCCCTGGTACGTTCTAAAAAAGTTACGGAAAAAAATTTAAAGAGACAAAAATCTTACGGATAAGAATACGAAACACATCATTATGAGCAAGATAAGGGGTAAAGTAGGTCACGCCATTCTTAAATTTTTACCTTTGCGAATTGGTCTTTGGGGTGAAAATGTGGGGATTGAAATCTTTTGTTTCTTCTCCTTACCTCTCTGCTCGAAAATATATCGATATTGTATGGAAAAAAATTATTTATTGTCACTCCAGGAAACGAGAGAGGTGCGCGGATTCTCGAATCTTCTGCATCGAGATTAAATTTTCTTGCACTTAACACGTTCAACTCTTTTGCCCTAAATCGGAGACATCAACACAAGGACAGAAGTAAAAATACCTTTTAAAATCTTTTCCATAACTTTCCTTCTGAGATCGTCGGAATCAATAACTTTGGAAATTATGATGACATCGCTCACATCAGGTGTAATCTCTTGGAGTTCGTTTTCATCAACCTCGCTGCCTACTCCGACGGAAATGACTGTCACGCCTAAATCTTGAAGCTTATTCGCTTCAGAAATAACATTATTAAGATTGGAAGAAGCCTTTTTGTCTGTGATCACGACCAAGATTTGGTGTGCATCTTTGCGCGCAATTGACGATGTAAACATTTTTCCAGCGCGCTTGAGAGCTTCGTCTAAGGCGGGACCTCCTTTCAAAATAGGGAGCTTTGTGACCAAGTCTTTCAACTCATCGCTTGTGGAGTAGGAGGACAAGTCTATAAATGACGAGGCATAACTTCCAAAAAGGATCACACCATACTGCAAGTTACCCGTACCGTACTTATTCACAATAGAAATAATCGCCTCTTTCGTCGATTGGAACACTACATCAGTTGAGGACGATACTGCACTTATGGCGAACAAAACATCAATTTTAGGTACCTCCGGCAAACCTAAGATGAATAAAAAAAAAACATATAAATATTAAAGCCTACTGGTAAGCAGATCAAACGAGTGGGGATGACGCAGTGGTGAAAGGCTCGCCTCCTACAACCCGGGTTCAACACCCCGAACTGGTGTCACATGTGCGCTGAGTTTGTTATGGGTCCTTAACCTTGCTCCGATCGGGAAACAGTGCACAAGAAGAGCCACCTCGTGGAATTTTCACTGCTAAATTGCCCAATATTATTATCAATATTATTGCTGTATTCATGCCGGTGGTTCCCCACCGATTATAAATCGAAGGAAGGTTATATCCAAACCTGGCCGAAAAACTATTTCCATCAGTTCATTGGTCAAAGGTGTCTTGTCTGTATCGACGGGAACAGTGATGACGTTGTTGTTATCGCCTGTAATATTAACCAGTTCATCTGTATCCACTTCTGACCCAATCCCCACGGCTATAACTTTCACTTTCTGTCGTTTCAATGGTGCAAAGGTTGACTCAATCTCTTTCTCGGATGAATCCCCCTTTATGTCTGTCATCAAAACGAGTACCTTGGAAGAATTGGCACGCACGCCAGATCCCTCGAAAGCTTTAGCAGCTGCTTCAAGGGCAACATGAGGTGATGTCGGGGGAGTGATGTCCGGCATATCTGTTACGAATCTTCGTAAATCGTCGGGATCCTCTGGCTCTCTCGTGAAGCTATACTTGGTAGATGCCTCAGAGCCGTAGATGATAAAGCTGAAATGGATGTCCTTTGTGCCATATTGTTGTATGATAGAATTTATCACTTCCTTCATCAGTGGATAGGAAGCGTTCGACTGGAAAGAGGTTGCGCTCAAAGCGAACGCAAGATCAACAGGTGGTGGTCTTAGTGATTCTAAACAGAACAAAGAAGTCATTGGTTAAAATATGTAATTCTATAACGACTGGAAATATGGCAACAGAAGCCCAAACGCGATTGTTGTCCTTAAGGTGAGTAGCATATAGTTTCGCCTCACAAATCCACCCCGAATAAAAAAATTTAGGTCACGAAAATAAGGGAAATGATCTCAACTGAAAAAGCTCTTGATTGTGAAACAAATTCTATATATATATATTCTATTCTAGGGTGCAAAGAGTTAAAAGAGCAGCACTACTGCTGTAGAAGTAAAATTAGCGAAACTGAAAAAAGTTAACTTCAACATTAGTTGCAAACAAAGCGTTAAGTTGAGGAAAACATGGTTTTGTGGGAGGAAAGCTTTGAACCGGATGCAAACGTAGCAAGACACTCAACAGCTTGAGAGCTAGAAAATAAAAAAAACATGTTGCAAGTAGGGAAAATGTGAAACCTGTTACAAGTGCACGAAAACGTTACCAGCCAGCTGAAAGTGCGAGACAACTTAAGCAAGCCTTAAACGATGGAAAACGCAAACAGGCTTTATGCACAAGGAACATGATCCAGCTCTAAGAGAGAGAAACCGTCCAAAGCTAGGTGTAAGCGCGAACGTACAACCAGCAATATTTCGGTCCATGACAACAGCGGGTGCTAATGGGTTAACTGGAGCACAAACGCAAAATTAATAAGTCACGGTCTTCGGTAGAATAAACAAATTATTAAACCACCAAGGTTAAAGATAGGTTAAATCTATACTCTAAGAACACAACACAGTGATCCGGTCAAGTCTCAAACCCGAAAGTCTCGAGCCGGAGTCCAGTGCACTGAGCCCAACACACAATAACATTAAGGGTGCAAGGTAATAATTCAAAATTGAAACAAAATTTTTCAATGTCATACCAAGAACTCTCGCGATAATCAATTCCATCAAACGTTTAGGTTGTTCATCTTCATCAATAAGAATCACATTTTCCTCTTTGCTCGTAAGGACGCCCAACTCGTTACTGTCAACTTCATCTCCGACACCAACAGGAATAACAATGATTTCAGACTCTTCCAAATACACTGCTTTTTCTCCTATCTCCACTTCATCTTCACCAGACGTTCCGTCCGTCAAAATGACAAGGACATGAGTAGCACCCTTACGAACGCCACTGTCTCTGAATGCCTCCTTGGCAGATTCGATGACCTCTAGGAAAGATACCCCTCCCGTGGCGGAGGGCAAAGCTTCGACAGAGGCCTTCAGTTCGTCGATGGTGGAATACTTTTCGCTGAATCGTACAATGAGATTGGACGTGTTCGAGAATACAATGAAGCTGTATCTTAAGCTGCCTGTACCGTACTTGTCAGCAACACTCTTCAGTGTATCCTTCATGAGTTTGAAAATTTTCTCTTTTGATAATCCTGTAGCACTGAGAGCAAAGGCAATATCAACTGGCGGGAACTTGCCTGCCAAATAAAAACAACACAATAAGTCACTATTCGTCATTTAGAGCAGTTTTCAATTGAGCGTCGAAAGAAATCCCGGATTGCTTTAATTTTGCATTATTTCGTTATGTGACTGATCCATGGAACTCGCGACACTCACTTAATCGCCTTTTCCCGCGCTTCGAGCAGTTTGCTTGTTTTTAATTCGAGTTCCCATTGGCTCCTGGTGATACTTCCCTTCTTATTATGGGCTGTTGTAATAGCTTTGGTTTAATTTACGACACTCGAATCTTACGCCTAATTGCTGTAGAGACGTCACGCATCCTCATAAAAATCTTAGAATAACATAGAGACATCATCCGAATGAAATACCTTTTTTTCCTATTTATCGCGGTTCTATTTTGCATTCATACTAATATCATAGTTTACCACTTTTTAATGCGTTTTACATATCGACCAGAGTATCCCAATCTTGGGAAGATTCACTTTATAACTGACTGATGACCAAATAATCACATTGTATGTGATATATAACAACTACCAGCGCTCAGCATTGATACTGACTTCAGCAAAATTATATCGGCCCGCGAATGAGCGAGTCCTTTTTCTTTCTCTTTTCGGCGAATTCAAAACGGTAGATTTAGACCAGAGTGAAACTGTGTTTTGTTTTGGGTTTTCATTGGCTCCTAATAAAGGTATTTTTCTTTTCTTCTGATTGGGCTGTTGCGATTATTTCGGTTTTGGTTTACCGACATTCAGTCGGAAACTCCTCTAATGCGGCGTTACTCTGGTTTTTCTTTACAATATACTGTTGTCTAGGAAGCTCATACCACCTTTCCAACCCATCAGATACCAATCGTTGGGTGGTTGCTTAATTCAAGATCACATCTGTTCTTTAAATTGCGAACGTTTGAGCCGGTTGGCCTTTTTACTTACTGGTAGTATCATATTTTCAGTTATATGCCCCTCAGAAGAACAGCGTTCTAATTACTTCTAAATCTTTTACGTGTCAACTTACATCTGGTAACGTGTTCCATAAGTCGTTTTCCTAATATTTTTGGTTTTACAGACCGGGGTACCTCGATGACAAGACTATCTGGATTAGTCATCTCCAATTGGGATGAGTCGTCTTCATACCCCACAGCTACAGGAACAACTTTTATTCCTTCCGCATCAAGAGGTGTGGCAGCTTTACTGATCTCAGGTGAGCTGCTTCCAAACGCTTTGTCAGTCATTATCACCACCACTTTGCATGCATTTGGTCTTGCATTCTCAGAGTCAAACACTTCTTCGGCCTTCTCCAGAGCCCCAATGACGTTGGATCTTCCAGGTTGCATACGAAGAAGCTTAACAAATTCTATGAGTTTATTTGGAGTTCTGGCGCTACTATCAAAGTCGAGTTCTGTTTTCGCACTGGCGCCAAGCACAATGAAAGCATAACGCAACTTTTCTGTTCCATATTTGCTGATTATCCAGGCTATTGTGTCCTTCATTAACCTGAATGTCTGTCTGTTGTTTGAGGAGTCGGCACTCAGCACAAAGGCAACGTCAATTTCCGTTGAGACCGGTGGGGGATCTATGTATGAGAATGTAAAGTTTTGCAGATTTGGTTAGTCTGAATCAGATCGTTACGATCTGATCAAAATTTCGTGGAAGGATTTGTAAACTGGGTTTCCATCGTCACTCGGGAAGTTTTTTATCTCGAAAGTAATTCGGTATTACGGTGGATTTGGTTTATCAAACTTTGTCGCTACTCTCGAAATTTCTAAGGAAAATGTGATGCTGCGTCGTTGGGGGTACAACGAGATCATTTAGAAACTGAGTTGATAATGTTAATTGGAAACCATAAAGTGTTTCTACAGCTGAAGTTTCGAACATTAACCCTTCATGCTCGAAACAATAGCTTTAGAAACTCGTTACTGTGGCAAATGTACATCAACAACCCAATTAATAAAATCAAATTCTCTCAACCGGTCAGATTCAAAGCTAAATTCTGAAGAATGGTAACTTGCACCTTTCCCGTGCCTAAGGAAACTTGCGAGTTTAAAGTCATAGGCATTCTTGGTGAAAAAGTTTCGCAATACAAAACTAATCCACCCATGCCTCCTAGTATCCAGGAGGCCTGGGTTCGAATCCCCTTGAACCCTAAATTTTTTTCTAGGCTTCTTTTCTGCAATTTCTAAAACTGCTGCTCGCCAGCGAGGATCATTGCTGTGCTTAATTATTTATTAAAATTGCAAAACAAAACTAACCTGTAAAGATGAGCCTCAGGATATCTGTTGAAAGCTTGTCAGGATTTTCATCAGTTGGTGAATCAATGATATTCCCTGTGTGCGGTGTAATGTAAGCTAACTCTTGAGGATCAGTTTCCACTCCAATGGATACGGCGATGACTTCTACTTCTTCATTTTCTAGAACAGTGGCAGCAGACCTTAATGCATTTTCGTCGGCACCCGAACTCATGTCTGTGAACACGACTAGAACCTTTTTGGCATTCTTCCGTGCGCCTGCTCCGTCAAACATCTCTTTGGTGTCGTTCAGGGCTTTGACAAGTGCGAGTGGAGGAACGCCTGCAAAACGTTAAGAGATCCAAAAAAAGTCACTTTACGGGAACGACACAACTGGTAACCCTGTGGTTTTTTTCGTTCTGCGTGTGAATGACGCAATAACTGGTAAGCCTGTCGTTTTCTTTTAATCAAAGATGATAACAACATACACTCAAAGAACCTCAGAGAAAAAACGTAAATCAAACGAAACAAATTTGAAAATCCCAACTGGCAGGGGACAACCAGTTTGATATCAACAATCGCGGTCGGGGAAATGAGGTCAGGGCTATTGAGAAACAAATCTTGCAAGTGGACAAAGCGGAACTCGAACCCGGGACCACCGGATTAAGAGTCCAACGCTGTCACTACTCGATTTCAATTATCATAACTTACAGCAAACTTCAGGCGTTTAACCATAAGAATCAGAGATCAGACCACACTTTCTAAAGATTTGACTCGACGAAATAAACAATATTAGTATGTACTAAAACAGTGGATAGCGTTGAGGGCACGCTCTAAATGGCTACTCGCACTCTGAATATCCTTTATTAATATATACCACGCAGGTTGAAAGTGCTTTTCACGCGCGCTGATTCACTGATTCGGAAGTGATTAGCAAGTATTATTCAGTTGCAGTAAAAAACGTGTTAAATCATCTTTTTATGCTATATCATTTCACTGCTTTAGTCTATTCTAAAAAACAACTATTCACCTGTGTCCATAGCTAATGTGGATTTATTTTTTTTTTTTAATATCCACCACTAGTCACCTCCACTTCGGTGAATAATTATTAAATATTAATCGCAGTATATCCACAAGTTCGTCACTTTGATTACGAATCAGAACGCGCGTAGAGTCTGAGTTATTTAATCAAATTTAGAGAATATTACCTTTCGGTTTGGGCAGATTATCGACATACTGCTTCAAATCAGCTTCAGACACCATCTTATTTGAAAATTCAAAGAGTCTTTCGGCTGATCGTCCATAGAGGACGATACCGTAATGGATTTTAGAAGTTCCGTACTTGTCCACCATGGATTTCACAGCATCCTTCATGAGTTTAAAAGTCTGGTCTGAGGTTGAAGATACTGGACACATGGCAACCACAAGGTCGATGTCTGGTATAGGTACCGACACAGCTAAATATATAAAGACGAAAATTTAAGGATCGTGCACAAATCGAATCGCAGCGGAAACATCATCTGAATAGGAAAATTGACCGCTTTGTTGGCAATTACAGAGGGTTCTTTATACCCTGCAGGGGAAATCTGATCATGATCATTTTTAACAGTATTTGTAAGAAGTCTTATCTCATGCATAATGAAAAAAGTGTTATTTCCTCACGCTCAAAAGCTTTTTCCATGATTCTGTTTCCCAAAGAGGCTGGATTGGCATCCGAAGGTCCTGTTATGACGTCACCCTCCCTCTGAGTTATCTTCTCCAGCTGTTTAGAGTCTGGCACACTTCCAATACCAACAGCTATGACGTGAATGCCTTTATCTTCCAATGGTTTCGCCGCTGTCCTAAGTTGTTCATCTGTGGACCTAGAACGACCATCAGTGATCACCACCACAACCTAAAAAATAAGAGTAATTCAATCGGCGGGAAAAGTACATCATGTCACGCTTAAAGTCACGCTTTCATGTCACGCTTAAGGTCACGCCCAGTCTCAGAAGCGCTTTTTGGTGGATTGCTTAATTGCGCGATGTGACTCTCTTATAAAATTCGAGTCGACTTAGATGCAAACCTAAAACTGATTGTAACCTCGTCACTCACTTTTCGCAAAGGTATGGCAGTCGACAGAGCTGAATAACGTATACGCATGCGCTAGGTTTTGCCGCGGAAACACGGATTTTGAGTCGTTCGCATGGTTGATTTCCTATTCTGTTACTTGAGGCGTCGTTTTCCTTGCCGCTTTTCTTTTACAGAACAACCTCCAAAAACTTGGTACACCCCCTAAAAATTTTAAAAATCAATTTTCTCCTTAAAACCTCTGGAAATAGGAAAATGCCTTCAAAGAAAACAGAGTTCCTTGGTTTTAAAAGTCAGCCCTTAATATTTTCCGCTAATTTCGCTAAATTTAGACCTAGAACACATGAGCCCGCATTGTTGACCGCCTACCCACTGAGGTAAGCATTTCATTATTCAGCTCTGTCAGGTCAGTCTACAAAAAACAACAAAACAATGTCTGCAATTACCAGGAAAGTATATTTTCTTAAATTCGTGACATATCTGTTGCTATCCAGACCTTTTGACTTGGTATTGAAATTTCTCTGGTTTTGGTTTGAAAATACTCACACAAAAAGTGCACGTTGTTTCAAGGAAAAAATCCCAGATTGAAGACTTCCGAGTTCTGCAAGCTTCTTAATCCTCTACGCCCTAACATCGGCATGCATATTCTCCATACTGTTCTCTAAACATTTCCTTAGGTGTCGACAGGGAGAATTTGTTTAACAGTCAAGAGCTTCTTAAGTTGACGATCATTTCCTTTTTTCTCATTACCTTAAATACGATTAAACTGTGGTATTGCAAGAAGAAATTAGACGCTTTTCACATTTAGGGGTCAAAGGGTTAACGAAAGCAAAGTAAGATCACACTGAGGCAAACAAAACACTCGTTGTTACCTTCATAGCATTCGGCCGGACATCCGCCCCTTCAAAAATATTTTTGGCCGTTCTCAGAGCTCGCTCAAAAACAGGAAGCCCTTGACTTGCAGGCAAACTTTGCACGAGTCGTAGAAGATTCTCCACAGACGGGTCCTCGCTGTTGAATCTTTCCATGACAGTAGCATCCCTACCGAATGACAGCATAGCATAACGAATGCTTCCCACGCCATAAACATTAAGCACATACTTCAGAGTATCTTTCATCGTGCGCAAAGTTTGCGCTGCGTTTCTTGCGGTGGCGCTCACAGCAAAAATCACGTCCACGTCCGGTACAATGCGTACTGAAATGGAAAAAATATTTACGATTACTTTTGCTTTTGTTGTTGTTGTTTTGTTTTTTTTTCAAAGGGAGTCGCGGTGACCTTTTGGTTAGTGCGCCGAACTCCGCCTCGAGACCTGTCAGACTTCGTCAGTGCCTCTCTCCACCCTGGTGTATAAGTTGGTATTGGAAAATTGTCAGGGAAGCCTGATGAAATGCTGGGGGAGGGGGGGCAGGGGATCGCCTTGTGATGGACTAGCACCCCACTCAGGGGAGAGCAGTAATACTCGTAGTTGCTTCATAAGGAAACCGGGATGGGCTTGGTGGGCCTCTTTGCTCGAGTACAGACTTTTTTTCAAAAGCGTGGGGAAAAGGAAATTCTAAATCTCCAACTAAGATTCAAACCCCAGACCTTCGGATTTGTACGCCGATGCTTTACTGCTGAGCTTTGGAGAACTCGTTGATGTGCTTGGCCATCTATTTAGTCCATATACATCGGGTGTCTTGGATGGTGTCACAAAATCTCACAACTACCCAAATGAAGTCGCTTTCACCCATAACCGCTGACCGTAAATAAATATCACAATTACTCTTATTTTCAGCGAGTGCTCAGTGGCCTTCAAACAATGCCCAAGACAAAATCGTGAGAAATAGCTAATTCGCGACAGGAATTTCACCCAGTTTTAATTGAAATACTTGGTGAACCCCCCAAAAAATAGCCCATATTTTCACCGGTACAGACAAAAAAAATTAAAAATTGGATCGAAGTCCAAACTAACATCCACGTGACTGTTTGCATCAAAACGCAAACAAGCCCTGGCATACCTTTGAAAATCTTCCACATTATTGCTTCTCCAAGTTTGTCTGGTTTAAATACTTTTCGAACCTCAATTAGACTACTGTTATCTGATGTAACCAATGTCAATTCTCTCTTGTCAGCCTCCATTCCCATAGCAACAGGGATAACATCAATAAACCGCAAATACAAAGTATTCGAAATCTCGCGCAACTTTGTTTCGTCGACACCAGACCTCTTATCCATTATCACGACCAGAATTTTCCGAGCTGTTGGTCGAGCTCCATGTCCTTCGAATAACTTCACTGATTCCTCTAAAGCTTTCTGAAGGTCAGGCCCTGAGTAGAGACGAGAAAAGTATACCTTTACGATGCGTAAATGCAAAATAATAGACAAATCGCCCAGAAAAAAAAGTAAGTGTTTCAACGATGCAAATCATATGGAATTTGTAGTACCACGCTCTCATTTACGGAGAACGTTGTTTAAAATAAGTCAGATACAATAGGTGGGGATGGGAGGTTAAAAATTCATCGCGGTCGAGATCCCAGGGGGTTAAAAAGACCCGAAGTTCGAGATCCTAGGGGGGTTCAAACTGCCGGGGGGTTCGAGGTACCAAGGGGTTTAAAATAGCAAGAGTTCAAGATCCCAGGGGGTTAAGACCCTGGGGCATACAAGATGTCTATGATCCAACACATCAGCACGCTAATGCGTCTTCATTTTTTAACATGTCACCTGTTGAACTCCTTGGTACAGAATCTAGAAGTTGTATCATTTCTTCTCTGGTGAGGGCCTCTCGCCTGAAGTCCCTTGTACGGCTGGGTACATTGCCGAACACCAACAGACCATGATGAATCTTGTCCGTTCCATATTTATTCACAATATACTTTGTTGTTTCTTTGATACGCCTGAATGTCTCATCCGCGTCTGATGCGGTGGCGCTAATAGCGAAGGCGAGGTCAACCTCTGAGACTGAAGGCCCATCTGTCAAAACAATTTAACAATGTTTCCATCAAAGAGGCAACTAAAAATTTTACATTTAACAACTCTCTCTTAAGCATAGTAAATTCACAATTAAGCTTAGGAGCCAAACCCACACTTGTCTATGCACACAATGATCAAAAATGTTCTTGGCGTAGTTCATTTGCGCATTGCGCCAGTAATCTACTTCCGACAATACATAGGAAAGCAGTTGTCCAAAACAAAAGAGTCTATAATGAGTCTATCCTACTAAAGAGTGCTATCACGATACACCAAACTAGGAGATACTGTTTGATTATAACGCAAAATTTTCAGTTATCATCTACAAAGAAATGCTTTGTCACCCAGAAGTAGATTTAGATTTCAAATCTCGAGAGTAAAAGGGTTCATCAATCATTATTATCTTTTTTTGAGTGGGGGGAGGGGGGAGAAGGAGGGAGGGGGAAGGAGGGAGGAGAGGAGGGGGAATGAGGGAAAAGGAATGGAAGAAGAAAGGATGGTCAGAAAAAAATCTGAAAAAAAAATGAAGGAAAAGAAAGGCTGAACGAAAATGCTGCCCATTGAAGACTTATTTTAGCCCTTCACCGCTAGATGTGATATTCTACCGGGGACGCACATTCAAGGAACTAAATGCGTATGGTACCAAACGACTTAACACCTGCAGTTGACAACGTATTCCTTGTTGATACGGTGGATGGCCGGCAGTTGTTCTTCCTCTTTCCTAATCGCGTGCGCGTTCTTCTAATGGATCTAAGGAAACAATACATGTCTTTTCTACCTCGAATCTTGTCCATGATCTTCTCTCCTATCACCTCAGGATCCATTTCTTTTCCAGTCTCAATAACATTCCTCTTGTCAGGTGTCGTGTTATCAAGCTCATCAGGATCTCCTTCCTCACCGACCACAACAGGTATAATCAAAACATCCATATCCACAAGAGGCTTGACTGCTGCTTTAACGTCATCGACAGCAGACCCAGAAATACTATCTGCCATAATCACGAGAACTTTACGAGTTAAAGGTCTCCTTGTATCGTCATCAAACATCTCTGCCGCTTTCTCCAGCGCGGCTGCTAAGTCTGGTGTCCCTGAGCCAATATCGAGGTTTTCTATTGCAGTCTTGAGTTGCTGTGGAGACGGAGGTGTCTGCCCAAACTTGATTTCTATTGATGCAGTGTCACTGTACACAATGACGCTATAGTGTATTTTCTGGGTGCCATAGGTGACGATGATGTAGTTTATGACATCCTTCATCAGCTGAAATGTTTCGTTATAGAGTGTACTGGCTGCACTCAGCGCAAAACCAAGATCAACCTCAGGAATAGCTTGAACTAAACAATAAAAAAATTAACATACGCCATGGTTTGACTTGATAATTACGATCTAAATCCATGCTTTGAGACGATGTTCTCAAAAGGGTAGGGACAGGAGGGTCGGAGAGATCTAAGAGGGGGAGGGAGAAGGGGCCTATGGTTTCCGTCATTCTTTAACTTCCAAGGCACGCCCGAGCCCTTTCTTTAGAATGCAATGCAACGATTCCTCCCTCTACCTCCATTACTATTCGGGGGGAAGGGCGAGTTTCGCGACAGTCCAAACAACAGCTGGAAAGGAGACTCAGACCATCGCGGATAAATATGGTATGTCACGCGAACAAGTAGGGAGAGCGTTGCGTTACATACCAAAGAACGGTTGCGTAGGAGAATAGGATGAAGTTGGTCCTCTTTAGTTTGGTCGGGAATATCGCTCCATCCTCTCAATTAATCAGATGCAAAACTAAAACCAATCGTGATTGGTAACTCACATTCGCTCGTGCTTCGGCCGTTTACATGCACTTATGTTCAAGTTGTTTTTGAATGTTTGCATTTGTACTGATTCACCGTTGTGCGGAATAAAATCGATCGAAAGCGTTCTTAATTTAATAAACTATCTGCTGTTACCTGTGCGGATCATCTCCATGATCATCCTGGCCAATTCAGTCGCCGAGGTTCCATCTTTTGGCTGTATGATGTTTTCTTTGTCAGGAGTTATAATTTCCAATTCTTTCGTATCGGCATCTGCACCGATCGCCACCGGAATCACTGTTACCCCAATATGCTTCAGGGGCTGGGCTGCTGTCCTGATGTCACCAACTGTTGAGCCAGATTTTCTGTCCGTGATTACAACCAGGACCTGACAGAAAAACAAACAGGTAACCTTAAGTGTTCCATTGTTACAATCAATGAATTAGTCGTTGACACACCCATCCCATTCTCATCCTCTTCATGGTACAAAGTGCATTAGACTCAATTCTCGCCAGACTTCAGGTGTATGACGTCTCAAACGTAAGGTGGGAAAGAAAGATTATCGCGGTTTAGAGGAGAGCATCAACAATTTCCCAGATCCCTTAAAAAGACCGTTACCTAGGGTACAAGTACCTTAAGTCTGCGACGTCATACACACAAGTACAAGCACACATCTTCATTCTGAAGTTTAACCGATTAGTTAATCTTCCAATCTTGGCATAGACGAAACTGTTTCTTATTGGTGGCTTTCAACCAAATTTTGATCCCTAAGAGGGCAAGGCCCCCAACCCCTCTGCGAAAAAAATAGCAATAATAATAAACTCCAGACGAGAATGTTTTGATAGTGATTCCCGTGAGCCTACCGTACGGCGACAAAAACTACGCGCACGTTTCCTTAAAATATAATATGCGCGAAAGGAACAGGATACTGTTCTTTGTGTCACATGTTTCTACCTTGCGAGCCTGCGGTCTGGCTGCATCAAAAAGTCTCCTTGCTTCTTCTAAGCTCTTGTCCAATGCCACTATCCCTGTCTCTCGGGTGATTGCGACAACTATCCGCTTGAGAGCATCAAAATCGGATGGTTGGCTTTGAAAGTCAAACCACTTGGTTGGTTTTTCGCCGTAAGCCACGACTGCATAGTTAATCTTTGACATGCCGTACATATCAGCAAAGGCTGTGATGGTGTCTTTCATCAGTTTGAAGTTAGTATCTGCATCCATGGCTGTGGCGCTTATGGCGAAGGCCACGTCCAAGGTCGGTACATTTGGGATTTCTTTGAAGAGAAATTAACATAGAATATGAAAATCTTTAACTTTCCGAGCACTAATAAAAGCTTTTTAAAGCAAGTAAAACCATGCAGTTGTAGTTTTCTTCTTACTAGTCTCCCATTTGGTTTTGAACTTACACCTCGATAAAAAAGAACACTCTGGTAGTCTCTCCGCCAATCTTTCTACCATACCATCTATCTTCCTGTCCAGCTCTCTATTTGTCTGTCTGTCTATCTGTCTAGCTTTAGAAACCCTTATCGGAGGCAAATTAGCATTATCAATTCAGCTGATAAAACCAAATCATCTTGTCTGTCTGTCTATCTTTATTTCTAGCTATCTATCTGCCTGCCTGTCTGTCTGTCTCCTTATCTATCTGCCTGTCTGTCTATCTGTCTGCTTATCTATCTGCCTATCTGTCTGTCTGTCTGTCTGCTTATCTATCTGCCTATCTGTCTGTCTGTCTGTCTGCTTATCTATCTGCCTGTCTGTCTATCTGTCTGCTTATCTATCTGCCTATCTGTCTGTCTGTCTGTCTGCTTATCTATCTGCCTGTCTGTCTGTCTGTCTGCTTATCTATCTGCCTATCTGTCTGTCTGTCTGTCTGCTTATCTGTCTACCTATCTGTTTTCTGTCTGTCTCCCTGTCTATCTGTCTTAGTCCAACCGCATGATTGAGAGTCAAAGCTAACCAAAAAAAAAACAAACGGGCTGACCGACAGACGAATAGGCAGAAAGACAAACAGACAGACAGAAAAAAAATAGATAGGCAAACAGATGGACAGATAGATAGGTTGATAACCAGACAGACAGATAGACAGACAGATATACGGAGATAGAGACAGACAGTAAGTATGGTCTTTAATACGTAACTGTCTGCAGTGAAGCGAAGTTACTCTGATTCTGATTTACAAAAGAAAAGCTTGGGAGTAAAATATCGAACTGTTAACACCTTGTCCATTCTTTCCAAAACAATTGACCCCGGACACATTACCTTTGAAAGCAAGAGTCATGACCTCCATACTCAATTCATCTGAGTCATCCGTGATCTTGGCCGGGATAACATGGCGTACATCTGTTGCTATATACTTAAGCTCCGTTATGTCGCTTTCGCTGCCCAACCCGATGGCAATGACTTTGATACCCTGCTCTAGAAGTTCTTTAGCGGCGGTTTCTGCTGCCTGATCATCTCCTGTCGATTTTTTGTCGGTGATAACGACAAGGACTTTGTGTGCATTTGGACGAGTGCCTTCCGATTCAAACAGGTCTCCCCCCTCCTTTAGTCCTATGTCTAAACGTGACCCCCCGGAAACAGGGATGACTGTAGTAAGATACCGTTTCAAATCATTTCCTTTGGTAAAACTCTGATGAAATTCAAGGGCAGTATTGGTGTCGTTACCAAACACTTCCACCGCATATCTGATTCGGATGATGCTGTACTGGTCAATAATGGAATCGATGACGGATTTCATCTTGTCGAAGTTCTTACTGGCATCTGAAGAAGAGACACTCAAAGCGAAGCCAAGGTCCACCAAAGGCACATACTTCATTTCTGATCATAATTAAAAGACAGAAGAAAATTCATTTTGCGAGGTTAAACTAGAAAGGAGTCCTGTCATTTCAAACCCCTGGGTTAACCCCTAGTAATACAGTTCCTCAGGCAAAAGATATCCAGGTTTAATCGCATCATCAATAGCAAAGGAGGGTAGGTTCCCTCGACAGGAGAAGGCAGTAATCTCCTTGGCAACAACGGGGTAACCATGGCAACCGATTCGCACACCTGTCAACACAACACCAAAATATTGGTGTGTGGAGTGGACACAAGCTAACTTGTAGTGGGGTAGGGGTAAGGGATAGGTGAAGGAGACAAAACTGACAAAGCAGTAAAGCAAACTGAGCAAAAGCCCAGAAGCACAATTCCCTTGCAAACCTTCTTAGCAGCCCCACTGCAGTGACTTCATTTTGACCTTACCTTAATTGCATTTGGCGTCATGTAATTACAGGGATACCTTGAAAACAGTCTACCCCCGTGGACAGATTAAGAGCAAAAAGTTTCCTTAAGCAAGTTGCTCACCTTTAATAGCTTCTATCATGATCCTGTTACCAAGTTGTTTAGGGCTCTCTTTGGGGTCTTCCTTAAGACTGTTATCTTTCATGGGCGATAAAGGCCGTAATTCACTCTTGTCTGACTCCTTCCCCATAGCCACAGTTATAACCTTGACCCGCATCTCATGCAATTCATCTGCAAGTGGTTGAATTTTGGCTCTGTCCCCTGTCGCTTTGCTATCGGTCAGAACCACCAACACATTGCGACGTTCCGGTATCTCACCGCTAAACATGACCTTTGCGCTCTCGAGAGCGGCTGCTAAGTCAGCCCCACCTTGACTCCGCTGTACCATTTTCACGTAGTTTTTTAGTTGCTCTTTGCTATTAAAGATCTCTGTCAATTGGATTCGCGGCACCGCTTTGCTGCCATAGACAATGAGACCATATCTGATTTTTCGCTGTCCGTAAGAGTCGATGATTGAGTTGATTGTGTCGGTCATGAGGCCGAAGTAATTCTTAGAATTTTGTCCGTTTGCATTGATGGCAAACACTAAGTTCAAAGGTTCAATGCCTAAGGAGATTGAGAAAAGCGACACTAGTGAGTGTGTTTGTTGTCGTTATTGAAACACCACAAGGCCTATACTACAAGCAGTCCTTCCTTTTCGGCAAAATCCGTCAAGCAATTTAAAAAAAAAATTGGCGAAACCAAAAACCAATATTAGCGCGCCAGACTTCAGCGCCCACTCCCTTAGTTCTGCGCAGCAGTGACTTTCCTTTTTTTTTTTTTTTGACCGGCGCGACAGACTTCGACGAAAAAAAGGAGACGCTTGTAGTGTGCACTAAACCATGTCACTTCAGTGATAACCTCAATTAATAGTCGAATAGGACACTCCGACCCAACCCTTTCAAAATGAGACCAGGGGAAAACCCCCCTTTTTTTGAAAGTTACAGAATTTATGTAAAGCTTCACAGTTACACTAGTTTTACAACAGATGCATCTTAGAACTGCGATGGCCTTCACAGAATGTCTTGCTAGCTGAGGACCAAGAATTTTTTCTGAAACCAGGAATAAATCCAGCTCGAAGAAGACAGTCACAAAACCGTTACAAACTCAGTAACCAATGCCTTTTTCTTTTTTAGGCTCGATTTCTGTTTTCTTATTAGTTTGTCTCTTGATCTTATTGGTACTTTTGTTCTCACTGTTATGGTGTTAGTAATGGCCAGTTTCTTGTTGCTTTTGTTATTGCGGTCGCACAAAATTCCCGAGTGCCTATTGTTTTCCTATGCAAGTCTTTCAAACAAGATTCATCCTTTCGAAATGGTTGTCGCAATTTCTTCGTCTGAATCGACAAAACGCACACGGCATCTATGTAAAGCAGAATTTCTTTATTTTTTTCTATTTCACTTTTACATTTTAGATCATGTTTACATAAATTAAAGTAGATTGTAATTGTAATAATAGATTGTAATAATATTATTATTTTATCTGATAGATTTACCGTGTCTAAATAAAAAATAAAGTTCAAAAAAGAAAAAATCCATACCTTGACATAAATTCTCGGTTACTGTTCTCAAACTTCCGACAAGCTGTCCAAATGAACCCATCTTCAGAACGTTTGCAGAATTCCCCATGGCAATAGTCCGCAGTTCACTCTCATCAGCTCCAGCCCCTACACCAACAGCCATAACCTGCACTCCTTTGGTCTACAATGGAAATGACACTCATATTCAGTGACCTAAACTAACTCTTTACACCTTAACATCAGTATGCATATTCTCCATACTGTTTTTCATACATTTCCCGAGGTGCTGACAAGGAGAATTTGTTTAACAATCGAGAACTTCTTAAGTTGGTGCTCATTTCCTTTATTCTCCTGACCTTAATGTGTGATTCAGGGGTGATATTGTAAAGAGAAATTAGATGCTAGTCACTCTTAAGGATCAAAGAGTTAACATAGACTATCTCAGCAGAGCTGAATGACGTATACGCATGCGCTAGGTTTTGCCGCGGAAACACGGATTTTGAGTCGTTCGCATGGTTGGTTTCCTATTCTGTTGCTTCGACGCGTCGTTTTCCTTGCCGCTTTTCTTTTACAGAACAACCTCCAAAAATTTGGTACATCCCCTAAAAATTTTTAAAATTAATCTTCTCCTTAAAACCTCTGGAAATAGGAAAATGCCTTCGACGAAAACAGAGTTCCTCGGTTTTAAAAGTCAGCCCTTATCATTTTCCTCTAATTTCGCTAAATTTTAGACCTAGGACACTTGAGCCCGCGTTGTTGACCGCATACCCTCTGACGTAGCATTTCATTATTCAGCTCTGTCGACTATCTCGCTATTTTTATCCAATATTAGCGCGAGCCAGTCATATGATATACCCGGGTCTGATAAACTTGCAATCGACCGCCTTTTGATTTTTCGCAAGAATCTTTTGAAAGCACAATCATAAAATACTTTCATTGCTAATCAGCGTAAAGAAAAGTAAGATTAAATGAAGAATAGATTAAAAGTAAATAAATGATAATGAGAACCCTTTTAACACAGCGACTTTGCGTGCTGAAATGACAAGACTCTACGAGATTGAATGCTATCGCTTTGTAAGCCTGAACTTCAATATCCCAGTAAAGACCTTAAGACGATATCTAAGTTTTGAAAAAGATGGCTGCCAGCAGTCGAAACTGTCAAAAAAAAGGAAGAAAGCTCTTGGTCAAGTTGAGTCCCGTAAAACCAAAACCAAATGGGTCACAACGGCCAATCAGAAGAAAGGATAATACGTTTATGAGCCAATGAGAAATCAAAGTATCGACAAACAATCTGCCTAAAGCGCGGGAATATGCAGACGACCAAGTTGAGATCGGTCGTAGCTTTGTATCTGATTGGCTGAGAGAGGCGCACGTTTTCTGTACCAATCACAGAGCGAAGTAAAGCAAAACCAATGCAATCTGGGGTTACTTTAGAGACTCAATTTGAAATTGCTCTACTAGCAGCTTTTTGGATTTGGTTTTTTTCGGTCCAAAATCAGAAAGCCCTTCTAGCAACAAATTCAGCAGACCTTTAATGGAGCCAAAACTGTCGAGTAGGGAGCTGAATCATCACTGGTTTTTCCATCTGTGATCACAATCAGAAGCTTGGGCACGCCCTTTCTCGCTCCGCCTTCTTCTGTAAACAGTCTCTCGTTTGCCATCTTGATTGCTTTGTCTGTGCGCGTACGCCCAGGATCGTATTTTACTGACAAGATCTTCTCCTTCAGCGGCTGCGGGTTATGCAAGGCAGAATTGGCAAAATCGAAGTCCATGAACGCGTCCTGATTGTAGTGAAGAAGGCCAAAGTGAGTGCCGTCTTTAGAAACGTGGAAGTAGTCGATCAGTTTGGCAAGGGAGCGTTTGAGGGTCTCGTAATTTGTCCAACCAACACTTCGAGAGGAATCCAAAACTACACCGATGTCCATAGCGTGAACACAGGCTAAAAAGTAAGACGAAAGTACCATAAGTCGCTGTTCAAATATTTCAGTAGGAATCTCTACTAGATTAAGACCAATATGTTATCCCGTGGACAGTTACATAATATAACCAGACGTACATAGCGTCGAAGTCGGTTATGAGTTTCTTGTATAACTTGTATCCTGTAATGCCTCATTTTAGCCGTTCACTCCACAGGGCATAAAGCCTCAGTGCTGTCAGATGCTGAATTGGGAAATGCTACAGTTTCTCTTCGTGACATATTTAATTAACTGACCACGCCTACGAGACATGAAGTTCACTATATGCGGGGCTCGAGATACTACGGAGTTTGAGAAACTAGCAGGTCGCGGCAATACCTGGGGTTCGAAATCGGGAGTTCGAAATAAGGGGGATCCTAAAACTTAAGGGGCTCAAGAAACAAGAGGGGGATTCGCGATACCAGGGGGGGAGGGTTTAGACACTTGGGGATCAAAGATACGGGGGGCTAGATATATTGCTGACTTGCACTTATGGGTTACATGATAGCACCAAAAGTAAAAGGTACAATTGTCTCACCTCCGCAAGGTCTCTTGTCAGCCACTGCCACAGCTTTGCTCTGGCGACAAGCTGTCGCCTTCAAAACACACTCGTTAGCATAATCCTGACCATCAGTTCCACATACAGGATCTTCAATTTTGGCGCACTTTTCATCGCACGCGCACTGGGTCCTGCCATCTGCATACGAAACACACTGAGCATAGTGCTGGCATACCTTGTTCTCGCACGGATCTACAGAAAGACACGAACAAGCGCAATGTCAGTGCAGTTAGATTTCACCACCGTGATTTCTTTGTCAACATACCATAGACTGCCCCTTACAAGCCTTAGGCTTCTAAAGAGTTTAAGGAGGGCTTTTAATAATTGAAGGGCTTCTATCCGAGGGGTTTACTACCGGGATAGAAAAAGTGCTTCGAATCGAGTTAAAACAATGCTTATGAAATACGTTTTGAATTTACCGGTTTTTCTAGTAAGCTTAACAATAAATCGAATTCATTTTATTACATTTGAAACAGAATTATATCTGACAACAAAATTGGAACGTAATGAAACGGAAGTTCAGACTTTTCCCTTGAAGTTCACCTTTGCTCTCCTCTGATCAAAATTTTAATGTCTAATTAACAGAAGAGCTCCTAATACTTAAAACAAGATGAGCAAAAGGGGCGCGCATATCGGGGTGAGGGGGTTTATAATCGGATGTATTTTTTTTCGGTTACGGGTAAATTTGCCCCTAGTCCGGGGGGAGCTTACAAGTGGGGGCTTATACGCGACAGTTAACGGCAATAAGAAAAGTGGGTAACGGAAAATTACCGAATAATGCAAACCGTCGTTGAAACCAACCTTTTATAATCACTTCATATACTTTTGGCACCAATGCTGGCAGTTCTTTATTGTCGTCGAAATCAAAAATATATTCTTCTCCAGAAGCAAAGATCAACAGCTTCCTTTTATCGGGGTTCTCGCCGACGGCCACTGCTACAAACTTAATCCCTTGGTTTTTCAAAGGTGACGCTGCATTACGCAACGTTACGTCTCTTTCATTAGTTCTCTCTCCAGTCAAAACAATCAGTGCTTTAATTGCATAAGATCTAATCAGCTTAGGATTCTTAAAAAACTGGTTATTTGCGCCCGTTAAAGCACTTTGAACTCGTCCCCCGCGTGTCAATCGCAGCCTGTCGACCTTGTCTTTCAGGTTGTCTGTGTCGAAGTTCTGAAAGTCGGCCAGTATTTGGCCTGTGGCGTAGTCAATAATGGCCACATGTACACCAGGAGCAGAGGTACCATATGTATCCAGGAACTGCTTAACAAAGTCCTTCTGTTTCTGGAAAGTGCCCGAGGTGATGGAGCCTGCTCCTCCCAGAGCAAAGACAAGATCCACTGGTTGTTCTACATCAATAAAATGCAACAAATTTAATTGATAAGAAATACGAAATCGAACGCAGATTTAGGGCTCACTTGTGGCTAGAAGATTTTTTATTGAGTTATGGATGCACGTGGGAGGTTTGCTAAGCACTCAAAAAGCTAGAGTCGCTCTCAGCGCCTCGCGCGACTCTTACGCTTCTTTCGTGCTTAGCAACCTACCGCGTGCAGCCATAACTCAATAGTGTACGCTGTGGTGTTTACCGTTTGTTAAATAGATTCCATGTCAGTGTTGCCACGCATCTGTTCAGTAATTGATCACAGATGAGGTCAAAGTGTGGTAAGAACAAAAACGTGGTTGAGAGAAGGCGTCAGTGATATTCTTGTCACTTCTTAATGTCTTATGTAATAATCACAGATGAGGTCAAAGTGTGGTAAGAACAAAAACGTGGTTGAGAGAAGGCCTCAGTGATATTCTTGTCACTTCCTAATGTCTTATGTAATATATTACTGAACAGACCCGAGCAACATGGAATCTATTTGTATTATATAATAAAGAAGCAAAAAGCTGTTCATGATGACGTCATATGTGCTTCTGTCCTCCAATAGATGATAACAGGGTCCTTACACTTTTTAAGGAACCAAATTCAGAGACTTTCAAAGACTTTTTAGGTCATTTTTAAGGACCTTGGCTCTCAAATTCAAGGACCTTTTGCATTACATAGGAGCTAATAGAAATAAAAACATTGCGTGCAAGAC